GATGTGTAGGCCAAGTCTGGCAAGCCAACGCAATCTATTATCAAACCCCCGTCTGATGATGATGGAGAGGAATGGGGTGGTTTTAGCGACGAAGACTCGTCCAAAAAGTCTCCTGTCACCGAGAAGACTCCCGCTGCAACCGAAGTGAAGGGAGATAAGAAGTCGAAGAAGGACAAGAAAAAGGAGCAAAATAAAGCGAAGAAAGAGGAACAAAAGTCCAAGGAGCAAAAACCCAAGGAACAAAAGCCTAAAGAATCCAAACCTGCTCAGAAACAGAACATCAAGACCGGGCTCTCTTTCGCCGCTCTCGATGATGTTGAAGAGGACGACGGTGTGGACGTGTCGGCTTGGGATGGGCTTAATCTTTCTCCCGAGACCTTTACGGCTCTTTCCAAAATGAAGTTCAGCTCCCCATCAGCCATCCAGAAAGCCAGTATTCCCGCCATTCTCGATGGGCACGATGTTGTTGGAAAGGCCTCAACAGGTTCCGGTAAAACATTGGCATTCGGTATACCCATTATCGAGCATTACTTGGACAAGAGAGGGAAACAGGGGGAACAGTCCGACGAGTCTGAAAAGAACAAAACCCCGATTGCATTGATTCTATCTCCCACTCGAGAGCTGGCACATCAGCTTGGAAAGCATATCGGAGAGCTCATTGCCAATTCCCCGGATACAAACGCACGCGTCGCCCTTATTACCGGTGGTATGTCTATCCAGAAGCAGCAAAGGCAACTTGCCACAGCGGATATTGTCGTTGGAACTCCCGGCCGAGTGTGGGAGATTCTAAGCACAGGAACGGGTTTGATCCGCAAAATGCAGAAAATCCAGTTCCTGGTAATCGACGAGGCAGACAGACTGCTGAGTGAAGGTCATTTCAAGGAAGTGGAAGATATCCTTAATGCACTAGACAAACATCAAGCCGGAGATATTGCAGACGAGGACCAGGAAGAAGAAGAGGAGGCACCATCCCACAGGCAGACTCTTGTCTTCTCGGCCACATTCCACAAGGATCTCCAACAAAAGCTAGCAGGCAAAAGCCGCTGGTCAGGTGATGACATGTTGGACAACAAAGCATCTATGGAGTACCTTCTCAAGAAATTGAATTTCCGTGAAGAGAAGCCCAAGTTCATCGATGTGAACCCAGAGTCACAGATGGCCATCGGACTCAAGGAAGGAATCGTTGAATGCCCTGCTATGGAAAAGGTAAGATACTTTCTTTTCGAACAAGTGGAATACCAATACTAATTCAAATGATTAGGATCTCTATCTCTACTCAGTTCTTCTCTACTATCCCAAGAACCGTACAATTGTGTTCACAAACTCCATCTCCGCCGTCCGCCGCATCACTCAGCTTTTGCAAGCTCTTCAACTTCCTGTGTTCGCGCTCCACTCAAACATGGCCCAGAAAGCTCGACTCCGTTCTATCGAACGTTTCTCATCCCCTACTGCCAACCCAAGTTCAATCCTTGTCGCCACCGACGTCGCGGCCCGTGGTTTGGATATCAAGGGCATTAACTGCGTTATCCACTACCACGTTCCCCGCACAGCAGATGCCTACGTCCACCGATCCGGTCGTACTGCTCGTGCCGGTGAGTCCGGAAAGAGTATTCTCATCTGTGCTCCCGACGAGGTTGTTGGTGTTGTCCGTCTCGCTGGCAAGATTCACGCCAAGAAGGCGAAGAAGGCCGATGGCGCTGACGGACCTAGCAAGAAGCTTCCTCTCGAGTCTCTCGACATTGATCGCCGAGTGGTTTCTCGCCTCCGCCCCCGCATGGCTCTCGCCAAGCGAATTACCGACTCCACTATCGCCAAGGAGAAAGTCAACACCGAAGACAACTGGCTTCGCGCTGCGGCCGATGATCTCGGTGTTGAGTATGATAGTGACGAGTTCGATCAGTCTAAGGGTAGAGGCCGTGGTCGTGGTGGTGGCCGCGAAAGACGTGAAAAAGAGGCCAGCGAAACGAGCAAGAGCGAAATGGCCGGGCTTCGTGCGGAGCTCAAGCAACACCTTGCCCAGCGAGTGAACATCGGTGTCAGTGAGAAGTATCTTACGGCCGGTCGCATTGACATTGATGCTCTTCTTCGTGGTGAGGGTAACGACGCGTTCCTGGGCCACCTTGACCCTCTGACTTTCTAATTTTGAATTTACTGAAGCATTGGGGTTGTAAAAATCATAGTGTCGCTATTAGTCTATACCAAAATTACATTGCATATGTTCTTGGCTCCTAAACCCTTCGAACGTGTACAGCCCAACCTTATCGGACTTCTCCGATATCAGACAGATAACATATCAGTGACAAAGAATACCCCAACACCTAAACAGGATAGTCAATGCCATTCAAAAGACTTTGCCCAATGGTAACTAGTTCACTGGGCATTATATGCAGCTATTTACATAATTGCATATCTTCCCCCGCCTTCCTAGCTCCGAGTAATAAAACGCCCTTCTCTTGATATCCCGAGGTCTTACAGACTCACCTCTCCCATTCTCTCAATCAACATGGATCCCCAAATTGAAGAACTATTAGGTCTAGAAGCCGTCCGCACAAGAGCTCATGCAGTCCTCAAATTAGCCGAAGAGGGTCGTCTGAATCATTTCAACTACCACCCTGAACGCATGGATGATGCCACCGACTACGTACTTAAACTGATCCAGGTAGGGCTAGCACATCCCCAGAGCGAACACTTACAGTTCTAAGCATAAAAAAGCTCACTATATATAATAGCGCGACTTTGGTCCTGACAAATATCACCTAATTCCGCCCCATGGACGCTGGCAGCATTTCGAGGTCGGCGGGGTTCCCCGCATAACCAGTCTCCTAGCTCAATGGGATGAGGAGAAATGTGACACCACCGAAAAGACTCGCAGATTGATAGATCTTTTCTTCGTATCTGTCCTTCTGGATGCTGGTGCCGGAGACTTTTGGAAATTCAATGAGTCACAGAGCGGTCTGACGCTCAATCGAAGCGAAGGTATTGCGGTGGCGGCTCTGCATATGTTCCTAAACGGTGATTTTGCTGGCAAGGATTCACCAGTGAAACACACCGCCAATGGTAAGTGTTTTCCCATGCATGCGATGTGATATTTAATGTTAGCTGACTCGTGCTAGGCGATGCATTGCGCAATATCAATGTAGAAATTTTATCCCGTGGACTCCAGGTCGACGATGCCAACCCCATGATCGGAGTAGCTGCACGGGCAGATATCCTCCGTAAACTCGGCGAGTCTTTGGTGAATTTGAAAGATATCTTTGGTCCCACTGGCCGCCCTGGTAATCTTGTTGGTAAGTTCATATTCCCCATGAAGTCCAGTTGGTCCTGGACCTTTGGATCAAAATAACTAAACAGATCTCAAAACATCCAGATTATCTCATTGCCAAATCGAATGATAGCGGAAAGCTTAATTACAAGGATCTTTGGAACGTGCTACAGCGCCTCCTGATCCCCATCTGGCCATCTGATCGTACTCACATTAATGGACAGCCCATCGGCGATGCATGGCCCCTACGGGCACTTTCGCAGCAGCCTGGATCGGAGTCGAAACCCTACTCCAACATCCAGCCATTCCATAAGCTGACCCAATGGCTAGCGTACTCATTGATGGTACCCTTCTCTCGTCTACTCTCGGTCTCATGGTCTAATACCGAGCTGGGAACTGGTTTGCCGGAGTACCGCAACGGAGGAATGCTTGTCGACATGGGAGTTCTAGAATTAAAGCCCGAGTCATTGCAGCGAGGGTTGAGCCTTTCCGGTGGTAGTTTGCCTTCGTTCGGTGCGGGCGATGACGAGATTGTGGAATGGCGAGCGATGACCGTTGCGCTCCTCGATGTCCTGCATACGAAGATCCTCGCCCGCTTGGATGGTGTCCAATTGTCTCTACCTCAGGTTCTGGAGGCGGGCTCTTGGAAAGCGGGTAGGGAGCTTGCAGCTGCTAAACGTCCGGAGACAAAGTGCAGTCCCATCTTGAACTTTGGTGATGGGACCTTGTTCTAGAAGCTGTGCGTCAGTATCAAATGCATCGGTAGCCTTTTCCAATAGATCTGTTCAATGTATTTGGATTCTCCAGAGCCCGGCATGTATTGTAGATTCGATAAAATATGGCTGGGACTTCGTCGGGTTATACTGTAGACCAGAATTTCGGTCCTGATCTGCTTTCCGTGAGTTCATGGAAGCCGGAGCCGGTGAAGTCGTGTTCCATTTGCGCATATCAACCAGCTTTGGGATAGTTCTTGCGGGCGTGTATAAATTGATTTAGGGTATTCGGGAGCATTTCCAAAAGTCCTGACTTGAAACCTGGCTGTTGCACGCGCGTCAGATCGTATTGTATTGTCGTATTGTCGTATTGCGACGTACAAACGTCCTTCCAACTTTGCTTTGCTCTTGCTTTTGAACAACATCACGATTTCTGTCAGCCACTTCGAGTCTTCATATACATTTCTTGTGTAAAGGGTGTCAACTGAGGGGAGTTGAAATGAATATGATATTCACCACTGATCATCTCAACTCAAAAACAAACACGCTCAAGACAAAAAGAAAAGATACTCAACATAACGGGACCCAGCAATGAGCGGCTGCTGCTGGTCTGGGTGACAACTGGATGGGCGAACCCAGTGCATTGCCACCCTCCAGGCCAGAATCAAACAGCAAACGACCCATGCCGGTCCAAATCATACATCATCGGCCGTACCCCGGCCGACTCAAAGAAGCATTCCCCCCACTCCCCACTTCCCTCCCCTCCTCCCCCTTCTCCCTCCCCATTGTGATAGTATTTGTGCCCCACCATGCTTAAGGTCAGCCATGGTGGGGCACCGCAAGGCTGAGGAAGTCGATGAGGAAGCCACCGCCGCTCTCCTCACCGGCACCTAATGACAACGAAGTGAGTTAGCAATGAAGCCGATGTGAGTCTGAAGCAATAGTAGAATGAAGTGAAGCTAACTGAAACCCAACAGAAAAGAGAATGTAATACATACCTTGCATTCAAGTAAGCATTTACTTGCCTACGCCTCGTCCAGGTAGGTGTCCTCATAGCCGTCGCTGGAGTCGTCAGCGTCATCCTCCTCCTCGTCACCCTCTGCCAAGATGGCGTCCAACGCGGCCTCCAAGGGCGAGATGGGCCCGTTGGGGGCTTCGTCCTCCCCCTCCTCCCCATCGGAGAGGTTGTCGAGGTCCTCATGTTCATCCTCTTCATCATCCTCCTCGTCCTCCCCGTCGGTCTCGTCATCGGATGGGCGGTAGAGGGGGTTGAAGTCGGTTGGGCGGGGAGCCCGCCATTCGTGGCCGTCGCCATGGCCATTGGTCAATCCCCCATTGGGGGTCAGCGGCGCGTCAACGCCGGCGGCAGCACGGAAAGGGTTATAGGTGTTTTGGGCTGCATTGCCCACACCGGCGCCGAAAGGATTGTTGGTCTGGGAGGGCATGCCCCAGCCAGAGACGAAAGGGTTGTTGTTCTGGGTGCCATTGGTCATACCAGAAGTAAAAGGATTATTGGTCTGGGGGTGATAGGCCCAGCCAGGATGGAAAGGGTTGGAGGAGGTCTGGGTGGTACTGTTCACTCCAGAACCGAAAGGGTTGTTGATGGCGTGGGGGATGTTACCTGCACCACGACCGAAAGGGTTGGCAACGTTCTGGGTACCATTGGCCAAAGCAGAACGGAACGGGTTGTTGGCGGCCTGGGGCGTGTTACCCGCGCCAGGACCGAAAGGGTTGTTCAGGCCAGAGCCCAATGATGGGTTGGCGATGGGCTGAGTGCTGCCAGAACCGAACGGGTTAGTGGCAACCTGGGCGCCGCTAGCCATGCCAGAACCAAACGGGTTGTTGGCAGTCTGTGGGGAATTAGGTGCACCATTGCCAGGGCTGTTGCAAGTCTCAGAGGCAGAGTCCTCGCCGGAAGAAGAAGAAGAAAGGTTGGTTTCGTCCGCCATCTTGAAAGATGCGATGAGAAGTACCTTGATTTGAAACTAATAGAGAAAGCAGATGATGCTCAAGCTAGATGGCAAAGATTTCATGACAGAGAAAGAGAAGACGAGACGAGACTGAGTTCTGTTTCTATGAGAACACAACAGTGAACGCGCGCTGCATGGTCACCCCCAACGAGGAAGGACCCCCGTCCATGACCATCATACTACGCTATACTACGCTACTACGATATACTACGATATTTGATCTTCAACCCTTCAGCCCTTCAGCTCTACATTGAAGAATGTTGAACTATGAAGTTATATTGATATAGATCTACGGCATCTTATAGTTCTCGGCATCCCGAACTATATGTCTTGGCATTCCGGTCCGATCATCGGCTGTTCCAAAGTCTTGAGCCCCACTGTTGGGTCCAACAGGAGAAAAATCGGCTTTTAAAAAAAGCAGAAACAAGACTAATCCAGATAGTGGCGGGTCTTTTGTTAAAATCGCCGGACAATCTTCTTACATTCATCGTCATCGCAAGTGTCATCGCAGAAGTCGAAGTGTGGCATACTTCATATATCAAGTCTAAACTATCAACAATACGAAAGCGATCGACAAAGTCAACAAGATCCGAGTACTCTGAGCTTGTTCTCCAGTATGTACAGAGTCCCCGGTCGGCGATCAGAGAAGCCCCTCTTAACATGCATGAACTAGAATCAAGATCGGTTTCATACTCCATACATACTTCCAGAATGTCAACCATTTCACAAACAGCGCGTCGGCTTTTCCGATCGCAAAACCTTTCAACATTCAGAATATACTCGCCCGCAGCGCCTATCGCGCGTCTTCACCAACAAGGTCCAACACGGTCGGCAGTGGTTCACAATCAAGCCCTCCCTAGCCAAACAGAAGCACCCCAGTTCCTTTCTCAGACCCAGTCACAATCACCACACCATGGATCCACAACTCTCGACGCCCTTGTTTCCCAAATCCCTCTCGTCCAAACCCTCCGCGAAACACACAGCACCTACAAGGAAACCCGTCCCCATCTCGCAATCCCACCACCTATCAGACAGCACCACTTCGTAGGTGGCAGCTTAGCTGGTCCAGGCAAGCTTGCCTTCGCACCATACATGTGGCTATCGACCAGCAAAACCGAAGAACAGACCGAGAAAGCCGACCGAGCCAGCAACGTTGTATCGGTATTCCACATCGGTCAGGATCTCTGCGGTCACCCGGGCTTTGTCCATGGTGGTCTGCTTACTGTTCTCTTTGACGAGGTGTTTGCGCGCTGTGCCTCTGCGGTTCTTCCCAGCGGGCTGGGTATGACGGCTAATCTTAATGTGGATTTCCGGAAACCGGCTCTTCCCGACCGCATGTATGTGCTGCGCACGAAGACGGTTAAGGTTGAGGGTAGGAAGGCTTGGGTTGAGGGTCGGATGACTTATCTTCCTTTGGCTTTGCTACCTTCTGCGGACTCGAATGGCATCGTTTCGGATGCTAGTTTGCTAAAGGAGGATAGCGAAGGTGCGGTTATGGTTGCTGAGGCCAAGGCTTTGTTTATTGAGCCTAAATTTGCGGATGTGAGTTATCCCTTTGTTCCATTCCCATGATGCGCGCTTTACTAACGGTTCTCAGTCTATGGTGAAGATTTATGCGAACTAGAGTGTCTGTGTGTGAAGAGTTGGTTATGCCCTTGCGTTATATAGAGTTATAGAGTATAGATTCATAGAGTTCACTATAGATAGATAGATAGATACATATTTAGAATGATAGATTTACTAATTCTCCCATGATTCTCGAAAGCTATTGACTATCTATAAAATCAAATACAATCCTCCCACATATATATTGTCCCTTGGTCGTCATAACCACCACTCGACGAGAGAAGTATCGCGAGTCTCCGAACATCTCAAACCCCCAAATCTACAGCCCAAGTAGTTAGTTTCTAATATAGCCTAATAATGAACACTGAACACTGAACACTGAACAATAAATCATAATACTCACCTGCTCAGCCGTCCATCCAGCCTTAACATTCCTCTCAAAAGTATGTACCCAAAGCCCAGGACCCTCTTCCGACATCCCACCCCAATCCTCAACTATAAAACCCTCCGATTTCCTCCCATCCGCCTCAACTTCCCCTCGCAAGTATCTCCTTATCTCCGCATTGGCATTATCCGTCAGAAGCTCAAATCCAGGCCTTACAATTTCATCCGCATCAATGACGCCGTGAACAAATTTACTCTGTGCCAGAACCTTCCCGAAGAAGTGGTCTTCGTGGTCCGATATTTTCCAATCCAAGACACGCTCTTCTTTGGTTGCGGCCAGGCCTGCGGTGGCTGTTTGGTTGAAGTCGATGTTTGTTGATAGTTGGCTAGTTTCAGAGGTTTGTGTTTGGTATTGGGTGATTTGGATGTAGATAGTTGCGAAGCCAAATGCTTTACGGATTAACCAGGGTACTTTTTGCTATGGATATGGGATGATTTAGCTTGCTGGACAAATTGTGGAAATGGTGAAGATCTTTTCGAACCAGTTTTAAGATAGGATCTGCTTCGCTGGTTAGGTCTTTGTTCTATAGATGGTGATATGGTTAGAATCTAGTATTTTCGAAGGGGGGATAGTATATAATTACCAGGACCCAATGGCCGGTGAGGGATTCGATGGTAATCTCTTGAGGAGCAGCCATGATATATGGATGATTTTATTCTATTCAACGAAATGGACTCTGGATAAAGATGTATGTTGCAGTCTGCGAGTAGTTGCTAAGTGATCTCGGAGGAATGGGAGAAAGCCACTCGGTTTAAGGGGAAATGGTCATGTTTCATTAGAATAGACTCTGTGCAACAGTACATTTGTACAAAAATGATACCCCAGTATGAGAATACCTACAGCAGAAAAACTAGATTTCAGTAGAAAGTGATCATTGCTATCTAATACCACTATCGTAGGGAACCCTCACCATGACGCCTTTCGACCCCTATGGCATATGAAGAAGGAAAAGGCAAAAACAGCGAAACAGCCCGTCCGAAAACTTGGGAATCGGGGAGGAACAAAGCAGAAACAGGTCGCACGTCGTCGCATCGTGAATGGTTTCTCGTCTTGGCTGAGAAAGACGGAAGCCGGCAAAAGAGAAGATATGGGAGAGGAGGTGGTGGAAGTTGTCAGAATGAACACTTGTCCGTATGTCTAGGACAGATGGAAAGCTCCTTGGCCTTCCTTGATGGCGACGGAGAGGCGCTTCTTCAGAACGTCCAAATCACTATAATCTGGCAACTTCAGGTAGTTGACGCAGGTCATTACACTGGGAAGATAGTCGTCTGGTGTATATGGATGTTCACTAGGGCGACACACAACAGTGAAGATCGGTGTGAGACTCTTGAAACCTAGAATTGATTACGTTGGTCAGTGGGGGTTTTTATGCGGTAAAAATGGAATTAACATACCTCCAATGGGGAGCTTGGGACTACCAGTGACAAACTGAAGGAAGTCTCGGCGTTGCTGATTGTCCATCTCGCTCATAGTCTGCAACAGGTTGCGCACACTCCGACTGTCCATGTTGAACCCGTGATCAGCCTTGATGGAGTCCATTAAGGTCTCGATAGACCAATCCTCCTCCGCTTGTCCGAAAAGCATGACAAGCTCACTTGGAGTGAAGGCACGAAGGGAGGAGAAGGGGAAGACTTGTGAGAACCCAGTCCGGAAGGCATCCACCTGACGCCTGACACCGTTGCCCAAGGTCATGTCGATCACCCGTTCGATGTAAGTGTCAACATTTTCGATTGTTAAAGGCACATCGGCACCGCCAGGGATCAACTCAATAGAAGGATATCCAGGCAGGGTGAAGTCCAAACCCAGGTCATCAACACGGGCGCCATGGACCGTGATATTTTGCACAGCCTCGGATTGGCTGGCTGGCGAAAGTGACTTGTTTGCCTCAATGGCGTTTTTGGCATTGACGAATTCCTTGAGCATAATCAGGGACTTCGCCAGGTCATGATCCACCAGCTTGACAGTCCCCAGAGATGGTGCCACCGAAGACAGAGTATCTGCGATACGGAAGAACGCTGGGTTGAATGAAATGTCGATGATCCGGGAGTCAAGCATCGAGCGGGCCACGAACTTTCCGAGCACCTTAAAGATATTCAATTGCTTCTTCCCAATATCCTGGTCTGCTTGCTCATCACTCATCGGTGCTGGGAACAGGCCGCGCTTGCCAAATGCGTATTCTGCAGTAGAGCTTCCGTCCGTGTCTCTCCAGATCTTAAGCTTCTTCTTCGAGAACTCTCTGGAGACAGTCGAGTAGAATTCAAGAGTCGGCCCTAATCCTGTACCAACTTCTTCAAAGTATTCAACCTCGAGAATGCTCGGGGAAGACCCATAGAGTTCCATGACCTTCAATGCAGAATCAAGTATGCGAGAACGAGAGATGCGCACTTTTTGGCGTTGCAACCGCCCAAGGAATGGACGATCATCGCGGCGCAGGTCCCGTCGGCTATCCTCACCACTCTGAGAATTTTGCCATCTCATCATCGCACGTGAGTAGCCAAATGCAGTAGACTGCAAGAATAGATGCCGTGTCTCGAATGGGAACAAGAAGGAGAAAAGCCTGGCTAGGTCTTCGCTCCAACTTGGAAGGCAATCGCTTGCCACAATTAATGGCTCCTCGAGTTGGCGGTTGATTTTGGCGGTGAGCTTCGTGTTTATGAATTGGGCCAAGGGCTCTGATGTGATGGTGGCAGAGTCTTTGCTGTCGGTCAAGATATCATCAATCGTTGCGTTCATTTCGTGCAAAACACGAAGCAGGCGAATGATGGATGAAGTTGTGGGGTCTTTGTCGAGAGAGGCTGGAATCTCAAGGGCATCACCCTCAGAAGAAGCCTGGGTGGTAGATGTGAGGGTCGAAGGCTCTGGAGGTGGAGGACCAGGAACGCGCTTAAATGTGATGGTGTGGACTGCCGACCAGACGTTCTTGGCACTAGTCTCATCCAAGTTCTCACGGTCGTGATGAACACCACGGTAGATAGTTGTCTCATTGGTAACGGGCTTGCCATCTACGAAGAACTCAAGGTGCCAGTCCTGGGGCACCGAGGCCATCGCAGCAGCATAAGATGAGAACGGGCGCCCGGCAGAGGCGAGAGAGCTATTGCGCATGCGGTTGGGGAGAGAAGCAGCAGGTGCTGATGATGAAGGTTTTGATGTAGCTGTCTGGGAGGGAGTGCCAACCCGGGTACCATCCTCCTTGCGAGCTGTGACCTTACCTGATGACGCCACCTCCATATTGACTGCCGAGGGGTCAGAGATATTGTCGTTTTCCATATCCTCATCGAGATCATCAACAATGGCGTTGAGTTGTTCGTCCTCATCTTCCTCGCCGCCGTCTTCTTCGTCAGTCAATTGCCTTTCATCTGCGCACTCAAGGGGCTCATCTTGGTCTTCGTCTTCATCCTCTTGGACCCGATTTGACTGATGGTGCGGGTGACCACTTGAGGGATCATAGGCGCCATCCGCAGGATCGGCAGCAGTACCATGCGGGGCCCCTGTATGACTTGGGAGGTTCATGCCAGACCCAGAAGCCAGCTGTTCACGGAGTCGGGATGCATTGGCAATTTGGGAGAGAATCGAGTCCCTGGTCCGCGAGGAGCGAGGCTTTTCCGCCACGGCGATTCGGGGGTGGAGGAAGTCATCCAAGGCCTTGAAGGTAGCAATAGCATGGATTGATACCATGATGTTTCGATAAGGACGAGGAACTTCAGACCCTTCATCGGCAACAAGCTTGAGTCGGAGCTGTTTGCTCAGCATGTAGGCGGCATTGCTGCGGGTATTCTCAAGCGAATTGTGGCTGACAGTGAGGACCTCGAAATGTTCCGTCCTGCTGAGCAAGTCTTGCAACTTGCGGATAAGTACGCTGAAAGGTGTTGTGGCGGTGCTTTGGCTTTGAGCCTTGTCTGAGATTGAAACACCCATAAACGCGCGCAAGAAGTCAGCTCTAGCATCGCGAATAGAAGGTGCTTGGAAGTTGCCAAGAACACTCAGAAGAACCTCGATGATGCCGGAGTTGAGCAATTCAGAGCTTGTAATGCTTTCCAAGGCGTCTCCGTCAAAGTATGACGCGAGCTGTTTAAATAAGAGAAGACCACCCTCGCCACCACGGGAATAGCGTGACTTGGTTTCGAAGGCGAGAGATTTCAATGCAGTCAAGATCCTCAGAGCCTCTGCTCGAACAGTTTCGCCATGGCTTGCTTCATATACCTCAAGGAAAGCTTGAGCATCTCGAATAACTACGTCGTTGAGGGCATTGTCCATCTTTTGTAGACTGCGTGGGCCCGCCATGAAGTCATCCTCAGAATCAGACATGTCATCATGGTCATCGTCCTCGCCATCCTCATCGTCGTAGTCATCAGCTTCATCGTCGTCATCCTCATCATCCCCCCCCAGTCTCCCCGGCAATTTGGCTGGGGCCGCTTGATGGATCTGTGGTCGTGTTTATATTTGTGGGGTCAGATGAATCAATGTTCTCCTGGTCTCCTGACAGAGAGCCTTCGGAAAGTTTGATGATTGCGGAGATAACTCCTTCGCGGTGGAATTGATGCTGATAGACGTGTTCGAGCCGCTGGAACAGTAATTCTGCGCAGCGTAAAGCCAAAGATACGAGAGAAGGGTGGTCTTTCTGTGAGAGAATAGAAGCCAGGAATGAAGCATAAGGAACTGTGCGCAGGGCGTCCTCAATCAAAGAAGGCTCCAGAATGTGCAGCATTTTCAGCTGTGCAATCAGAACTTTCTGGCGTACATGCAGATTGACTGTGCTCGAGTAGGCATCTGTCAAAGTTGGGAACAGAATCATGGCAAAACGCTTAAGCTCAGTCTTGCAGTTGTCGAGCAAGGACCGCCTCTCCTCCACTGTCTCTTTAGATTTGGGGGATCTCAGTCCGATAGACATGTGGCTATCAAAGTATGAGCTTAACAGATTGTCTGTCTTTGAGGCATCGCGGCTTGGAACACCTGGTAGTAGCTCGCAGATGACATTGAGAGTTTCAAATACTTGTTCACGGGGCCGATGAATCAATGCTTGCATAACTAGCACGCTGTCCATCTTGACGGCCGTGTTATCCACATCCTGTGGTGGTGACACGCCGGTCAAAATTTGATAAAGGGTATCCACTACATCCATCTTGAGAAGCTCGTTTGACAATCGTGGGCTTGTTTTCGATACAATTGCCAGCACTCTAAGGAATTGCGTGTGGATATGAGGCCCGATCAGATTGGTCGTGCCTGGGAGTAGGAGACGAAGGACAGCTTTGAGCATTGCAGGCTCGATGAGCTCCTCCAAGTTTTCAGGTCGGTGCTTGAAGCTCTCGACAATCCGTGATACGCATAAACACCCTTGCTCCACGACCTTGGGATCATTGCTAGCCAAGACGTTCAGTAGGGTGGGCATTACATCCCGCACCACAGGGAAGGAGTCATGAGGAAGATTGCGACAGCAGTTGGCAGCCGTACTGACTGCTGTGCGTTGAGTGCTAGTGGGAAAGAAATCCAGATATGTGAGGCAAGCGGTTAATCCACCTTCCCGCACAATTGAGGCTGGGAAGTCGACTGAAATCTTGGCCAAGGTACTTAAAGCCTGCTCAGCCAAATCGATGAACTGTATATCAAGCAGCTTTTGACAAAGGATGGGTACAGCACCACCATATACAACATTCGCCACGGAGCCCCGCAGAGCTTCCATTAGGTTTGCGAGAGAGCGACATGCAAGAAGCATAATCTCGGGATTCTCTTCGCCGAACTGATTCGGTTGCATCAGAGCCACCAACTCCTTCACGTATGGGTCAGGTGAAAATTGACCGGAGAGGTTATCCTCGTTTGAAACAAGCAGGAGATCCGAAAGCTCTTGTAGGGCAATCAGTTGGAGAGATGGATCATCTTTTGCCCTCAGGTTGGAGAGGATATCCCGAAGACGTGAGGACATGCCACTCATCATGCCAGTCAGCGCGCGTAGAGTGCTCTGAAGTCCCATGGGGCCTCGGCCGCCGAACAGGCTGCTGTGGAACGGATCCATATCATCATCATCAAACGCCGAGGGGTTGGTGCCATCGTTGCTCTCGCCCGTTTGGGATCCTTGGTGTTCTTCCTCGTGCTCCTCCTGCTCGATTTCCTCCTCTGCATCTCGCATCACAACATCGGGATTTGGTTTGGCGGAGCGCTTCTTCGAGCGTCGGGGTGGTGGAGACTGTGTTGTGGCGGGTCGATCTATAAGAAACAGAAGGAATCAGCAACTATCGCATTAAAACACTAATTTTGTATCACACAGCCGATTCCCATCCATAAAACTCACCGTTCCGACTGGACTTTCGCCTCGATGGTTGTGGGGATGTCGTCGATTTGGATGATTCCTCCGACGGTCGAGATGACGGTCTAGATAAGAAGAGCACGTTAACCCCTATTCCTATTCATGTTTGTACCTCAGCACCTACCCCGGTTGTGACATGGCTGGACGGCTGCGGGCGCCTCGACGGGGTGCAGCAGGAACAGGACCAGTGGATGGAGCTGTTTGGGATGCTGCAGTCCGCGGTCGCTTGGTTCTCCTTTGGGGCGACGGCGGTGTTGGCTGTATCGGGGCGTCTACTTGTCGGTCGTGGCGGGACGATGCCTTGCGTTTCCGGGACGAGGTTGAGCCGGCCGTTGGTAGCGGTGTACCGGACTCAGCAGGTGGAGGGTCGGTGGCGAGTCTCGCGGAGGAGCGAGTTATTCTGGATGACATGAGAAAGTGGTCTTTTTTGTTTAATTATGTGATGAAATTGGGGCCTGAAGAAAGAAAAAGACAGAGAAAGAAGACCGGGATGGTCAAAGCGATAGGCAGATAGTTGGGTACAGATGACGAATGTAGAAATGTAGAAGCGATGATGGCGATGAATTGCGAACCATCCACTTGATAGCCCAGGGGGATGAATAGGGAGTACGAGAGCTCAGGGATCAGATTCTCGCCAGTGAGCATCCACATAAGATGAGTCTGAACGTCCAGGCGGGCCAGTGTGTACTTGAAAGCGGAGAGAACGGGTGGGAAACTACCTCAGGGAAGAAGAGGCCGTGGAAGTGCCTGCGGGGGAGTCGGGATAATCCTCGAGAGGGTCCTGGCGGTTGGCGGAAGGCCTTTGCCTGGCCATAAGTTATCGGATATGGGAAGCTCGATTGAGTAGTCGTCACCGATTTCAACCCGCCATCCGCACACCTATCGAAAGGCTAGCCGAATGGGCTGGCGAGAACGATGTTTCGGGTAGCTGTAACTGTTGCCGTTGGGGCTATGGTATTTCAAGAAAAAGAATGATTACCAATTCCAGTCACACAGAGATGAATTTTTTCAAATAGGGGGATGTTCAGAAGATGGGGAAAAAGAGAAAGAGAAATTGAAAAGGAGGATGGTGATGGGATTCGGGGAGCGTCAGGCGGCGGAAGTGCAACATTCGATGATCTAACCAGGTACTTATATACCCCCAAAGCAGTAACTGGTTGTATACTATGTGTGTGATTATTAGATGGTTTCTTTTTTTTTTCCTTTTTTTTTACACCAGTATATTGACTAGTATAATTCCTACTATTATTTATCGCACGTACTTTATTTCATTAACTTCGTTTACTTCATTTCATAGCTTTCGTTATCTCTCACACATTTACATCTTGCCTGGATGTTGGGCAGGGAGCGCCCGAGACCTGTCTAACAATATAGGTGGCAAGATATATCTCAAGGAATTTGATTTGTATATATTTATACAAATATATTTTATGATAGATATTGTGCATATTATATTTAATATATGTGGTCCAATTAATGGTTTGACAACCAAAGGCGTTCATCCATGTACTCCGTATACGTAGAACACATTGACTAGTTACTTATATTAGAACTCAATGAAAACAAGAAACCACATACATAGCATATAGGGATGTATATATGAAAATAAGGACCTTGAGAGCTAAATGAACCTTATTAAGCTGTTAACTCCTTAACTTGTATTCCTTAACTCGGAAATGTAATCTTGAACGGTGTTCGATCCGGTTCACGGAGACACGCCGAATAGCACTCGATTGACTCACCGAGGTTGTGATCTTATTAATCACCGGGGTACTCCAGGGCTGGAACCTGATATTCAGAGAGAGAAAAAAAAAAAGAAAGGAAAAAAGAAAACCTCACATCTTTCCATCTTTCATCTTCACCTTTCACCTTCATTCGCCTTCTCCGGCGCATTCTCTTGCCGCCTTCGATTTGCCCCCCGCCATTCGCAACTCACAAGAAATTCATCTCTTCACTTCTCCCCTCCCCCGCCTTTTCCCGAGCCCCATACCCTTTTTGCTTTCCCCGGAATTCAAGATCTTCTAGGGGCATATTCTTCTCTTTACTATCTCTTCATCATGGCAATCGAAATGGTTGGTGGGCAGAGTGATGATGTCCACCAGACACCCGTCAATGTCACCCCCGCTCCGATGGAGGACTACACCTTCCCGGAGTATCGCCTCAAGCGCACGATGAACGACCCCGAAAAGACCCCTCTCTTGCTGGTCGCTTGTGGTTCCTTCTCACCAATTACCTATTTACACCTGCGAATGTTCGAAATGGCCAACGATCACGTCAGATTCGGTACCGACTACGAACTCATTGGAGGATATCTGTCGCCGGTGTCGGACGCCTATCGCAAGGCTGGTCTGGCCAGTGCGGAGCATCGGTAAGCGATTCCACACCTAATACATCCGGTCTAGCTATGTCCGATGACTAACTGGGGTTGATCTATAGGGTTGCGATGTGCCAACTGGCAGTCGATCAAACCTCCGACTGGTTGATGGTGGATACATGGGAGCCAATTCAGAAGGCCTATCAACCCACTGCTGTAGTGCTGGATCACTTCGATCATGAAATCAATGTGGTCCGTGGCGGGGTGGACACCGGAAACGGAACCCGGAAGCCCGTTCGAATTGCTCTGCTAGCCGGTGCAGATCTGATCCATACTATGTCCACACCAGGTGTATGGAGTGAGAAGGATTTGGACCATATTCTGGGCAAATATGGGGTAAGTTTCTCCAGACATTGAATACCGTTCACCCCTGTGCTCGAGAAATAAGCCGCTAACAGATCTCTTAGTCCTTCATTGTGGAGCGTAGTGGCACCGATATTGATGAAGCCCTAGCTAGCTTGCAGCCCTGGAAGGACAATATCCATGTCATCCAACAGCTCATTCAGAATGACGTTAGCAGCACCAAGATTCGACTCTTCTTACGACGTGAGATGAGTGTGCGCTATCTCATTCCAGTGCCCGTCATTCATTACATTGAGCAGCATCATCTATATGAAGATGATGGAACGGCAGAGAAGGGTAAAGAGAAACAGGAGGGTCGATAAAGATGATACGACCATCTACTACTGCCTGTTGAGGCATACTCTTAATGACCCCTAGCGACGCCCACATCCTGATGCGATACCCCTTCCTTCTGTCCTTTCCTGTGTGACAGATGATGTTTTTCTTTTTTGTTGGAGTTTGAGGAGTAATTTTGAATTCTAAACTTGTTGGCTTTTGCCCTGGCTCAAAGCCATTACCAGCGGGAGAATCTTGCAATTATCCCCAACCGGATGTACATATCACTATTTTTTGGGCTTACTTTATTTCCTGTTATGCCCTCTGTATATATGAGGACTCAATAGACCTCTTGGGTTAGACGCCAATTGCTCAAAATCCGATCAAATCAAATGTTATACATAGAAAAGTCTCTTGCACAAAGTATGCTATTCTTTACCTTTATATACCTAAAAAGCAGCAGAACACCTAAAAAGAACATTGAAAGAGACATGGCAAGGTTGCATAAGCGGCCGACTATTGTTGATATTCAATGGCATCGGCCTCGGATATACTCAGGTAGGCAGATCGCCTCCACATTCACCATTATAGCATTGGATGACACCATATTATTAGACGGGGTTAGACGGGGTTAGGCGGAATGAATTGATAAATTGGCAGAAGACAATTGTCAGAAAGGGGTATTACAGTTATAAATCAAAATGCCCCTCAAACAGACCTAGACACCTCTCCATATGCATGTAAGAAAGTGATAATTCCCCGGTCTCACACGAAAACCCCGAACTCCGATTGCCCACTTGTTATCTTCCGTTATCGACTGATCTTCGATCTTCGGCCTCCGCAAATTAACCGGAGGCGTGCGCGGGAGACCAACTTCACTCATAAAATCAATCTTACTTCCCAGTCACTATGCTTTAAAACATTGAGAACCTCGCCATGTTAATGTTCGAAGAAACCACCCCGGACGCCCCCTCGTGGCCTCTCACCCCTCCTAATTCATCCGATGCCCAGGCACCAAAGGATGTCTCATCAGTGGTGACAGCAATCCATGTGATCTCAACCGAGCGAGCAGCCCTCGCTCACCTCGAGCACATTTACCAGACTGACGCGCGGGCGCAACACGATCTCGCTCGGGCCGTGGATCAGATCGCGCGGAGCGTGCGCGAGGGTGGGAAACTGGTCGTTTGCGGGGTCGGGAAAAGTGGGAAGGTCGGACGCAAAATCGAGGCTACGATGAATAGTCTCGGTGTATATAGCGCGTTCCTGCATCCGACTGAAGCCTTACATGGCGATCTGGGATTGGTTCGGCCGGTAAGCCCACCTCCGCCTGCATCTGCAGAGGCGTGCTTTTTTTTTTTTTTTGAACTTCGGACCGATCACCTTCGGGTCTTGTTGATAAGATATTGGAACACTAAGATACTAACTTGATCTATCCAGAATGATACCGTGCTTCTCATATCCTTCTCTGGTCGCTCGCCGGAACTCTTATCTCTGCTCCCGCATCTCCCCGCTACTGTCCCGGTGATCGCGCTTACATCGCATACACATCCTGCTTCATGTCCGCTTCTCTCGTTGCATGGCCCTTCGGGGATGGGTATTCTTTTGCCGGCTCCCATTCATGAGGATGAAGAGTCTTCTTTCGGTGTGGGCGCGCCTACCTCGTCTACGACGGTGGCTTTGTCGCTGGGTGATGCGCTGGCTATTGCTACGGCCCGGAAGTTGCATACTGCGACAGGGAAGAGCCCCGCAGAGGTCTTCCGGGGGTTCCATCCTGGTGGTGCTATTGGAGCGGCGGCGGCAGCGGCAGAGACGCCACTGACCACGCCGTCGAGCGGCATGTCAACGAGGGCATATGACTCTCCGGCGTCGTCTGCGTCTCTTCCATGGGAGGAAATCACAAATACTCAGTCGATTCCTCCTTTCAATTTACAGTCACCACCGGAACAGCGCGTCATTTCTCAAGATATGCTGGTCGCGCTCGATCAAATCCCCACTGCCTCTGCATCTTCGTCGCAGTCATCTGGCGATGTGCGACTGCTTGATATCCTCCTCGCAGCTATCCAGAATCCTAATTCCAAGTCATGGGTGCTGTTGTCTCCGTCTGAGATAATCCCTCCACGGCACATTCGTGCGCTCCTTTCTCCTGGTGGAGATATGGACATGCGTGTGTCTGAGGTTATAGCCAAGAATCCTGGTACTCCATTCGTTGTACCTCAAAGTAAATGGCTCTTGGTGTCGGATTCAACACCCTTGGCTGAAATTCGGCGTACTGTTTCTGAATCTCGAAATAGACCAGATCCAGTCACTGTCGTTGCTGTCGTGAAGGATAAGGCATCCCCCGGCAGTTTCTTAGGGGTGATGGAGGCAGAGGATCTATTGGATGGATGACATGGCTGAAAAGCGACCCTGTTTTCTTCTTCTTTCTTGGATATACTCACTCGATTTTACATATCGTTCGCATTATCATGCATTCGGTTGACGATGTTACGCCCACACAGTTTTGTTTCTCTTTGCATACATACTTTTTCTAGATGCACATTTACAATCGAAGCCCAAGCCTCACAGCCAAGGCTGTTCATACACGATGCAAATCAACGCCAATGATATTTCTCATGGTAATACAATGTAATACAGTCAGTATGCAAAGTCCCAGGTCTATATAGTACAGAACACCCTCTCCTCACACAATACAAGAACCACAATCAAGCCTTAACAATCGGCTTAATACCCTTATGGATAGCAGCAATACCACCAGTAAGGTTCTCGAATCCCTGACCAGGAATCATAAACCCAGCCTTCTGAATCATGCCCCTAAACTCCTCCTGACTGGGGAACCGCTCAATACTCTCAACAAGATACTGATAACTATCGCGGTCCCCAGCAACGACCTGCCCAATAAGGGGAATAGCACTAAAGTTCCAGCGCTTATAAATCCCATCCAGAATGGGGTTATCAACCTTACTGAACTCCATACAAGCAAAGACACCACCGGGCTTGAGCACCCGATACGCCTCATTCAGCGCAGCCTGCTTATCGGTGAAGTTCCGGATTCCAAAAACAACAGTGTAAAGATCGACCGAGGCATCGGGGATATGGGGCATGTGCTCAGCATTCGCCTCGACAAAGCTCAGTCGGGGCGTGTTGTAGTAGGGGGTATCGAGGGAGCGCTTGCGACCTTCGGCCAACATATCGGCGTTGATATCGCTGATAGTCACGCGGGTCTCCATGTCGTGGTTGACGTTTGACGCGTGATCCAGCATCCGGAAGGCGATGTCGCCGGTCCCGCCGGCGATGTCCAGGATGTTCCAGCCGCGTTGGTCGGCGGTCATGGCGGGGAGACAGGAGCCTGGGTTGAGGGATCGCACGAAGTGGTCTTTCCAGAGGCGGTGGATGCCCAGGGACATTAGGTCGTTCATGCGGTCGTAGGAGGCTGCTACGGAGCTGAAGACGGCGCCGACTGTAGGGGGTTTGGGTGGTTAGTTATGAAGGTTCGGGAGTATGGGTTCAATTGAGATGGTGGTCAATTGGATAGCGTGAGGGATGGTGATCTTAGTCCTTACCTCGCGTCTCCTTCTCTGACTCGGGCACATTGGTGAAGCCGAAGTGTGTCATGCGGTCATTTTCTGGCTTCTGCTCCTGGGTGCGGTTGGCACAGGAGAAACAACGGTAGGGAGTGGTGGGTTGGAAAGCGCGACGCTTGGCACTGTAGTGCAAAGCCCGCCAGGCGGAGCGAGTTGACATGGTGGACATGGTGGAATTGATGTTGTTTGTAAGTCTGGAGAAGCTCAGGTGAACCGGGCAACTTTTCTTTTCCTGTCCCGGTCCCCACCGGTGCGTGCCCTTAAGCATCATCCGCACAGACCAATCAGAAAGTCTGGTTGAGAAGTACAGCCTACCTACCTATTTAGATGTAGAAAAGACATCAGCACTTTATAGTTATACTCAAAGTAGGTGTTTCTCTGTCGTCAACTACGCTGGCCGACTATTATATTTACTATATTTACTATTGTAGGCTTTATAAATAGCAAATATCAAGTGGAGTATAATCCAATGAAGAAAAAGATAGAAGTATATATATACAAACGAAGCATCAAGCATAGAAATAATCACCACATTTTCTCCCATCCTCGCCGGACCCAATGCATTTGAGCCAGCTCCTCCTTCCGGCGTTCCGCCCAGCCACCTTCTTCCCAGAACTTGCACTCTTCATCGATCTCCGCCTTCCCAGAGTGCAAATCCGCCTCTGCAACGTTCACAAAGGAAGTCCGATGATAAACCTTCCAGAAGACAAACATAACAACCCAGAACGCGAGACCGAAATACGAGGTGATGAAGCCTTGCACACTGAACGGCTTGAAAACAGAGAAGCCATTGAAGATAGCAGTCAAGCACCCAATAGTGATAGCAAGAATAGCGCCGTATGGCTGCCAGGGCGCAGCCCATGGAACGAAGGTTTTGCGGTCGATTCCTTGCGCTTTCATAGCGCGGTACCAGGCCATGAAGACGCAGACCATGCCCGTGTAGGTGAGTACCAAGGCGAGGGTTGTTAGATCGACGAACCAGAAGAAAACCTCGACAGAAGAGGTACTGGCCACGAGGAAGGTAATGCAAGTCAGAGCAGATACTGTGAGGACACAGTAAACGGGGATGCCGGATTCAGTACATTTCAAAAGGAACTTCGGGGCTTGACCATCGCGGGCGAGGGAGTAGAGTGTACGGCTGGAACTGTAAAGGTAGGCATTTCCACAAGACCATCCCGAGAGCAGAATCAGGAAGTTGATCAGATCAGGCAGACCTCTGATACCGAGGTTCTGGATTCCGATAACCCAGGGTGAAGCAGCGGAGCCAGCAGCACCGTCAGCAATCGCGGAAATAAGACGTGGGTCGCGGGGACTGCAGATGACGCCTACAGCCAGGACTCCGACGACATAGAATCCAACAATACGCCAGAAAGTCATCTTCACAACTCGGGGGATGGTCACCCGTGGATTCTGGATCTCTCCTGCGGCTAGGGCTGGGAGATCGGGTCCAGCTACGGAGAAGGCTGCGTAGACCATGACGGAGAAAAAGCCCAAGAATCGGCCTGTGTTGCCCTCGGTGTAATACTCAAACATGACACCCTCGGTCCAGTTCCGGAAACCATAGACATCGTGCTTGGGGTTTCCTCCGACCATTGTGATGAAAGTGAGGAGGACGAGTCCAATGAGGAGAAGGATCTTGGTGGAGGCTAGGACAAACTCGCTCTCGCCGTACCATTTCACAGAGACAAGGTTGAGCATTGTGCAAACAACCAGTGCCATGGCTACCCACACGGCGGGATTGACGCTTGTGTTCCAGTATTGCATGATTGTCGAGACTGCAGAGTACTCTGTACAGACTAGCATTACACCACCATAGAAATATACCCAGCCCCTAGAAGGGTTAGTGTCTGAAGCGCAAAGTAAAGCAGGATAAGACATGGAAGTACTTACATAGCAAACCCAAACGCCGGGTCAATAAACCGGGCAGCGAGCTCAAAGATCGATCCACGAATAGGAAGGTATGCAGCCATTTCACCAACACATAGATTGACAGGTAGAATAAAGAGACATCCCCAAATAAGATATCCAAGGAACAGTGACAGCGGACCGGCATCCCGCAGGTAGGATCCAATACCAACAAAAAGTCCAGTACCAATTGAGCCTCCGATGGCCATTAATTGCACATGTCTGGATGACAGACCGCGCTGTGTTTCTCGGTAGGGTGAAACATCGCCAGCGCTAGTATCCTTAGGGTTGGAAATGTCTGTAGAATCTTTCTTCTCCATGGCGAAATACTACTCAATAGTCAAGCCTAGAATGACTCCTCACCAAGAGACGGGGAACATGACTCTTTATATGCGCACTGGCATTGGGGTCAAGAGTGCACGGAGCCAAGAACGACACTGATAGACGGCATACATGTTGATCATGCAACCTCTAAACAAAACTGCCAAGAACATTGGCATGGAAGACACGAGACCTTAAACGCTACTGATAAGAGAGTTATCGAGCAGGATCCCCTTAGTCTTCGGGATTATCCTAAAAGGGGGAGGAGAAGGCGATGCCAAACCTTGGAGATCTGCCAAGTGATAAGCTTATCAGGGCTTAACGGGGGTTGGCTGTGGTTGACTACTTGGATGGACCAATTGGCCAGGGGTCCCTGCTCAGCCGTGACAAACTAAGACTTTTGATAAGACATCCAATTGTTAATGCCTCAAGCACTCTCCCATGTGTGGGGTAAAATCTTGGACAAATCAAAACCTTGATATCGGAAGTTGCCCGGGGAATATCATCCAAGCCCTTTAAACCAGTAGGCTTAAAGCAATTCAAAATGTTATATTATCTTCCAATTGCCAAGAAAATTCTCCGACGCCCTGGGATCCATTCACTTTTGGACCACGGTGTACAGGGTACGGAGTATGTTGTACATATCGTGACATTCTCGGTTAACTTTAAGATGGCCAAAATGCAGCCGAAGTCAAAAGCTCAACCCCCGCATTTGGAGCAAGCCGCGGGGCTTGAGCACGAGACGCCGGCCCGGTGTGTATATTTCCTACAAGGTTAAGGTTAAGGTCTATGACGGGCAGGACTTTCCTAAGGTTATTCTTTATGAAATGTGATCGGTATATACCTGTTCAAGTTTTAGGCTCGCGGTAAGAGTTTTGGTGTAAAAAATGTCGAAAAATATTAAAAGAATCACCTCGGCCACTGTGGAATACTCCATTCAGAAAAAGTGGACAAAAATGAGTATAAACAGCCTCCCGAGGTCCGTCCCCACTACTCCACTCAATACGAACGGATTTGGTTGAGCATCACGTAGGAGCCCATGGACGAGCTGGTGGTTGGAAAGGACATAGAGGCATTCAAGGCCCCGGGCCCAATATTGATAATTGATAATTGAAAACGAATATGGATATGGATATGCGAAAGGGATGAAATGCACAAACACAGCAAGTATAGATAGGACAGATGAAGGGCGGTAATAAACACACAATTCGTGAGTTCCGCTCGATTACCGCCAGAGGTATAAAATATAAACAGATGACTAGATACAATCCCTTTGATCTACTCTATGAAACGATTAAACACACAACCTTCACCTCCCTCAAATCCCCATCCTAACCAATGAATCATTCAAACGCCAACGGAAGAAAACCCTCCGTATGAGCCCCATCCAACGGCCACGGCCAATCCGACAACAGCTCCGGCGGCAACTGGAACTGCATAATCTGCTCGCCCATTACCGGCGGCGGACCGACTGGCTGAACTGGGCCACTGGGAGGAATGTATGTTGTGGGTGGGATAGGGATTTCGCGTTTACTGTCCATGGGGATTGTGTTATGTTGAGGGCGCTGGTTTTGCGCCGCGAGATTGTGTAGTCGGGAGGTACGCATATAGCCGTCGATTCTGTCTACCTGCGACCGGAGTCGTTGGCTGGCGCCAGCGGCGCGCTGGTGACCTGTCTCGAGGCGGCCTAGGAGATCGGCCATTTCGAGTCTGTGGGGAGGTTAGTGGTTGGGTGATTAGTCTGGGATATGTAAAAATGGGACTTACAGCAACGTGCGGACGCGTTGGTAGGACGCTTCTGATAAACTTCCTTCCATTACAGAGCCGAGGATATAGCCGATGCCGCCGAGATGATGGAGCTGCGAGAGGTTAGTAAATGAGAGCCAGGGAAATAAGGATGATTGGCTTACCAAAGGAGAGCTGATGGCATTCAAATACCCTACGGGAACTTTGCTGAAGACACTGAGGAGTTCTCCAGCCACGTCACATTTGCGGTCTACGCCGAGCTCTTCCGCTGACAAGAGGACCATCCGGAGGAGCTGTAGTGTTGCCTGGATGTTGGCGGACTGGAACCCGAACAGATCCTTGGCCATATCGCCTGTAGTGGGTGGGGTTTCTTTAAATTGAGACGGCAGCGCGGCGTACATAGATAGTACCCTCTCCATAACTGCTGGTTCTGACATGGATGCTGGAGTGAACAGAGACCATACCTGTGAGGTCCCGTTGGCGGACGAGAAACGACGTCGATTGCCATCGACGACGTATTCTAAAATTCGATACAGATCTGTCGTAAAGTTCCAGCCCCGAAGCCATGCTACGGGTTGTCGTGATACGACAGTGATATCGTCCGGGCTGACGCCTGACCCTGGAGATACGGGCGGCAGCCCATAGCCGTGTGGTGTGATAAACTCATCATCAACTTCGCTCGGATATCGTACTAGAGAATGCGCTTCGCGGTATCGAATCACGCCTCCCCATACAATGGTGGAATAAATATCCAGCGTATAGATAGACCAGAACTTCAGACCTAGAGTTAGTGGAAAGAATGTAACTATAAGATAAAGGAATACATACTAGTCTTCGTCGCTCCTCAGTTTCGATAGCACTCAGGTTCTTTGGCCAAAGCTTTTCATCATGGAGGCCCTCCATACTAGTGAGAGTGTGGTACATGCCGGAGTACTTCTGCATATTCTTGATCTGGCCGTTTTGAATACTGGCAATTGCCAGAATAGCGCATGCACGCATATAGTTAATGCCTCTTGCCGCTGCAAGGTCTCGGGGAATAGAGTCCTTGGCAGCGGCATAAAATGCTTCGGATGGAGGTTCGGCAAGTTCATCGCGATGCCATCTATTGGTGAACAGCGCACCATCTCGCGCGCGTCCAGAAACTAACGCGCAAACTGCCATTGTTGAAGCGAACAGCCCCGGATCTCGGAGGTGTTCCTGGTTATGAACTCTCTCAATGAAAGATTGCTTGTGGAAAAGCGGGAAGCTGGAATTTCATCAGCGATAGAAAAGGAGAAGTAGCAAAGATCAGGTGAATTCGTACATTGGATAGACAATCTCGAAGTATACTTGCACAAGATTTCGGATTTGACGATCACTAGCGATGGCGAACGCATTCCATGAATTTCGCAACGCGCCGTCATCATCATACCCCTCCGTTGCCACCCCACCAGCATTAAAGGTAGACCATGGATCCCCTGTAAATGACGGACGGTGGGCGGACTCAGTATAATACGAGCTCCTCGATGCAGAGGAATTTGACATCCTTCCTGTCGCCTGCGCAGCAGGCGGGACAGGGAGAACATTCTCAGGGGCAGGAGTTCCTACCAACGGAGTATCTCGCATCGAAGCCCTGGTGCCAGCCTTGACGCCCCGGCGCTTTGCGGGGCGATCAAAGGTGCACGGGACGTCAAAATCCGCACAATTCTGACATCTGCCTAGCGGGTCTTCACTTCTGCCGCACTTAATGCTGCGTCTGTTGCAGAAGTCGCCTGTGAATGCGACATGAGCGTTGAGCTTCCTACAATCCGGGGAATAATTGCCGCCAAGCGCAAGTGGAAGTGGAGTATACAATCGAACGCGGGGATCTTACAGGCTTTGGAGACGCGTTGGAGTTTTCGGGGTTTTTGCGACATTCAATTCATTAGTTCATTCCAAGCTTGGAAAGTGGTCTCAGCAAGGAAGCGGGAGACAATCGGGCCCCGAACTTCGGCCAAAAAAACGGGGTTCCGCGAGAGACACGGGTCGCGTGTGGGAAATCGTGGGGTAAGGCTGTGCAAAATTGGGGAAAAACGCAAAAAGAAATTGACCAAACTCAAGCAAATTTCTCCGACATCGATGCGCAATTGAATTTGCTAGAAAATGAGTGAGGATAAAAGTCGGCATTAGAGTTACAAGCCACAAAAAAAGATGACTCAGCAGCGTGCCATTCCAAGGTGGACGCCCCGGGGGGACGATCGAAAGCAGTGGAGATTCGGACGATCATTGGGTCTGGAAGATAGAGTACAATATATTATGTACAACGTTGCAGGTCAATTAATACTTGCACATAGATGAAAATGAGAAGATTCAATATGCCTATAATCTTTGCGAAGGTATTATATGGATATATCCTTGACTAGTTTATATTAAAGGTTACATACTACATAACCCACAGGGCCCACTACTAGTAATAAGTGAGAAAGAAGTGAAAAAGAAGTAAGAATGGTAAGAATGCAATCTTTATAATACATTAAGTCTAGGTAACAACTTTCGGTACATGATCTTATACATGTGTTGCTTCGGGGTAAGTGTAACACGATTAAAGCGCTCTATATGGTATGACGTAAATGGCTGAATCTTTAGACAGTTCCAAGTTTAGATGGGGGAGGTTGTCAGCTCGGTCTTGCCGTCGCTGAGAGGCTCACTACTGTTGACTCCGTGTTCGGCGAGGACATCGCCGTGGAGCTTGTATGCTTGTTCCATCTTCCAGTAGAATGGACTGGGGGTTGAGAAAAGAGCATCAATTGACTCGAGAGAGCGGTTGCGGGTTTCGGGGTAGACTGTGAAGAAGAGAACGTTAGATTCTAGAACTGGAGGGAAATCGATACAACATCAAACACATACATAGATAGACGATCGGGATCCAGATGAGGTTGAGACCAGCAAACAAAAAGTATGTACGGCTCTAAAAGGTTATTAGTATCTCCATTCAAGTGGGAAAGTCGAGTCCACTTACAGTCATAACATTAAACATGATAGGGTTGACTAAAGTGGTCATACCCACTCCAATAGCCCACCCTGTGATCCCAAATCCATTTCCTTGGGCTCTTAGATCACTGGGGAAGATCTCAGTAGGGATCAAGAAAGCAACCGTACCCCACGTGGCAGCATAACTAGGCATCACTTTAGTATGTAAAAATATTCGTAATTCCATGTGGACTTACCCCAGATTGAATAAAAAGAGCATGGTCACGGCACCAGGCGCATATTGAGATGCCTTTTCAGGGTTATG